CGGATCGTGTTCAAATCAATAGGCACGCAATGACTCTAAATAATAATGATCACGCCACCAAACACACATTCAAACTAAAGGAACCAGCCTGTTTGGAAAATGTGAGAAGTAGAAAGTACAGGTATTTGAGTTCATCATGTTAGAAGTAGAAAGTACAGGTATTTGAGTTCATCATGTGAGAAGTAGAAAGTACAGGTATTTGAGTTCAACATGTAAGAAGTAGAAAGTACAGGTATTTGAGTTCAACATGTGAGAAGTAGAAAGTACAGGTATTTGTGTTCAACATGTGAGAAGTAGAAAGTACAGGTATTTGTGTTCAACATGTGAGAAGTAGAAAGTACAGGTATTTGTGTTCAACATGTAAGAAGTCAAAGTAAAAAGTGTTCAGAAAAATAAGTAGTGGAGTAAAGTACTGATACCAGAAACATTTACTTAAGTACAGTAACAAAGTATTTGTACTCCACTACTTCCCAGCTTTGTACATATGAGGCTATTTTTGATCAGCGGAAGTCAATTCTCTAACGAAAAGTGCTTTTTTTCATGTAAAGTTTGTTATTTCATATTTACGGTCACTTGACAGACTAATTAGGACTTTAATACATCTAGATACTTTGCCATGTCAAAGTTTAACTGTCTGTCAGGACGATTGTAAAAGTTATTTATATCCCGTCGCATGCGGGCACAAGTTACAAGGTTTTATACAACATGTATCTCATGTTATACCGACAGAATGTACCAAGAAAGAGGGTAAGAATGGCTACAAACCGTATGACCACGCAGAGGATGATAAGAGGCTTGTGATTTAAACATTAATGACGTCCTTCGCGGCTTAGCTTGAACATTAGCTATCTGTTAACTGTTAGCGGGTCTTGAACAAAGCTTGTTGTTAGCAGTTTCATTTAGGAACTATTTTCTTTCAACCGAACTACACCTTACAACAGTTCTTAGAAGCCAGCGTGCATCTATACATGAAAAGAGCCTCAAGCACATTTTAAAAACATGAATGGCGTCTAACTGGACTGAACTGTACGTAACGTTAGCTATAGCTCATCCAACGCTTCCTTCAGCGCAGTGATACTGTTTGTAGGAGTAGTTTTAAGAAGATTTACTCAAGATAATCCACGGACCTTGTTATAAACCACTTCATGAAGGACCTATTTTCTTTCTGCCGAACTACACCTACAAACCTTGTCCCAGCTCAGAAGAAAACATGCATCTATTCATTGATGAGAAGTTTGTGATTGCCCAAGATAAAAAAACATAAATGCTGTCCTCCTGAGCAGTAACTAAAGAAGTAGATGAACGCTTCATTGTTCGCACTAATACGATAGGTGGGTGTAGTTCGGTTAAAGAAAAATAGTTCCTGTATGAAACCTGTAGATTATCTCAAATACCTGGGTCATGATTTATTGAAATTTACATTGATTTGAAGTGTTTTTTTGGCCTTTTTAAACAGCATTATACTAGTCAGACATTTCTGAACTCTGCACACCAAAACAATCCAGATCAAGTTAGAAGTTTTTAGTACACATAAAATTACACTGCTTAGCAAACCTCATGGTGTATATCTGAGAGTTACGTAACACCACATCACATTTGGCTCAGGCGGAGTTTCTGTGAATAGCTGTGTGGAAGCAGACCCTCGCCAACAGTAAACAAGCCGGAATAAGATCGTGGGATATGCCAGGAATCAGCAGACAGACTGATAAACATCGAGACATGAAGATCAGATAAGCCCCAGCCGACAGATAAGACTGAGAGGGGGGAATTCAGGATTTCAGAAAGAGAGAAAGCACATGTTGGATGTTTTGTACAGTGATGTGGTCTTATTAGGCTGTAAGTGAAAAACCACTGAGCAGCGGTTTGGTCCTCTGGTACAGATATTAAATGTCCAATTTCCTCGAGCAGATACCAACACGAAGGAGGGAAAGCAACATAAACAAGGGTCTGTTTTTTGTTAAGATTTTTAAAGACTTTTCTTAAACTTGTTTCTAAACTTAGACACAGGCAAGGGGAAAAGGATGAATGAGAAAAAGGTGGAGTGGGTGATTGCATGGAAAGACAGAGTCGAGTAGATATTATTCACTCGTCTCCTCCCAATTTCCTCACTTGTTTATGAACTCTTAAGTCGTTTTTCTGCTGTTGTCCTCATGCATACTTGCCAACCTTTAGACCTCAGAAATCGGGAGCATTTCAAAATGCAAAATTGGGGGGGGGGGTGCTAGTGGATCGACGGAGCTGTTAGATTAACATTAACATGCTTATTGTAGTTGTAAGTGCACTGCCTTGCGGCCTGTAGCACCGTCCTTGATGGAGCATATGTGTGTATGTACAGGAAAGGAGTGAGCAGAGAGTAGAGTAGTTGTCGATTCTTGTGTTTTCTGTGATATCTGCCTCACCCTCTCAGACTTTGAGTTGCGCGCGCTACTAAAGAGACGTGTTACCATGGAAACCAAACAATGGTGTAGCTGTATTAAAGTCCGAGTGGAAACAGTCGTGTGTAAATCTGATTTTGTCAGAAATCGGTTGAAATGCGGGAGAAATATGACCCCGGGAGGAAACCGGGAGAGGGCAATGAAATCGGGAGTCTCCCGCGAAAATCGGGAGGGTTGACAAGTATGTCCTCATGTGCATGCCCTCTCGTCACCTCCTTTCCAGTTTGCCTCTGATGCGGTAAACACTTCTGCTTCACTAACTTCGCTTTTAAACGTTTGGCTGATTTTGGCTATTATTGGTGCATGCATATTGGCATTTTGGCAAGGGGGTAGAGTCTCAAATGTTGTCGGTTGAGTCTGTAATAAAACGGTTAGCCCAAATACTTAAATCCTTAAGGGGAATTCCTCATTTAAACCCATTGCAACCAGGGGCGCCGACAGGGATTTTGGGCCCCATGAAAAGATATCACATTGGTTATTTAAAAATGTTTCTCTTAATGTTCTTAAATTGTTTGGGCCCCTGTCAGTCCCTTAGAATCCTCCTAAGCTTTCACCCCCTTACTGCGCCCCTGATTACAACCTTTGACACTGCTGTCATCACAGCATAACATCAAGGCTTCGGTTATATAAGACATTAAAATGGTATATTTTACAATTTTTCCACCAGATCGGGACACTTTCCTCTTTTATATTCATCTAAAACAACGGTGAAATAAATGGATAGAAGGTAGTGATGATTAGGACTGATGAACATGGAAAATAAGTACTTGCACTTTTAGAGAGGGAATATCATTGTCCTCTAAGGTCAAAACAAAATTAAACATTCATTAATAAAAAACCGTATTTGACACAAATATCCTGGACTGTTAAAAATAGAAAAAACAAAATGTAAACAATTCATAAAAACAGTGGTATCATGTGAAAACAAAATCACTTTTAAAAGGATGAAGTTAGGAAAATAGGTGGACTATTTTTTCAATCTGAGTGGCACACAAATGCATACAAATCCCAGACAGAAGCAAAACGTGAATAAATATATAGAAAATGCATTTTTTTGTGTTCATTTAATAAAAACAGAAGCATCATGTCAACAAACAGGCACGGAAAGGGTTAAACTTCAGAAGATGAATGGATATTTGGTAGCTATGTTCAGAAATGTGACTCAAAGTGAAAGCGGATCATAATATTTATATAATAACTTTATGGCTGTTTTTGTCACCCAGACACTTTTATCCTCAGATGACCTTCTTCAGAAGTGAGACACAGGCAGGGGTTAGGATCCGGCTCTGACCGGTTAGTTTCGGTATAACCAAACTCTTGAGAAATGTTATGAATACATAGAAGAGCGCCAGAAGCCCAGATAACTGATAAATGAAAAACAGAGGGAAGTGGGAAACGCCCTGAGCATGAGAGGAATAACAGAAAGCACCTGTTCAGCACATTGACTAAAGAGAGGTCAATACAGCAGCTCATAAAAGGACATTTAAGTAAGGCAGGTAGGAGGGAACAACATGACTATGGAGGGTACAAAAATGCAGATTCAGACTTTACAAAGTGTAGCAGGAATGAGTCCTCAGACCCGGGTAAGAGGAGTTAAGTTTAGAAACTGAAACAGGTGTTGATCAATATCGGTTCGTTAAGAAGAAGTCAGCAGTACAAAACTTTAAAATGAGTCCGGAAACCGGCTAACGAGATAGCATTTTAGCACTTCCCTTTCCCACATCTGGAAGTCAATGGTCTTTTGAATGTGTTTTTGGTTAGATGCTTTAAATAACGTATGTGGTTAGCACAAGCTTAAGAGTTTTTCTTTTTTTAACGTTTAGAATGGCTGAAGCTTCTTTGAGTCTTAAAAATGGTGGTTGTTAACATGTGAATAAACATCATCACGGCTGTCACTACCCGATCTGCAGCCCTGCCCGATCTGCACTGCGCGTGTGCGAGATGGTCTGCCATATTGGAGAACTCCATACGGCAACTCTAATAGGACATTTGACGTCTAGACGGCTGCCCGATTTGCATCGTGCAAATCGAGTCATAAACGTCTTAAATATCTATACAAAAGTCTTTTGTTATTTTATTTTATTTGAAATAAAATGAAGGACATTCACAGTTAATGTAATTAGATATAAATTATGAATGCCATATGCATACATTCACAGTCAATATTTCGTCAGAATGTATGATAGCTGTCTAACAGAAGTTAAATCCATTTCTCTCTTATTCTGACAATGTACTTAACCCCATAAAAGGACCCAATAAAAGGAGTTGTTAAATAATAGTGAAGTCACGTTGTAATAACAATAACTCATCTCTCTCGTTCAGATTAATATTGTCGGGTTTTTTGAGTGTTCTTTTTCTGCTTTGCCAAACGCCGCTGTGTCAAGTGTCCTATTAGAGTTGCCGTATGTAGTTGTCAAATATGGCGGACCATCTCGCGCATGCGCAGTGCAGATCGGGCAGGGGTGCAGATCGGGTAGTGACGACGCCAAACATTAGCCACCTTTAGCTTAGCGGTGGTGACGTGAAGTCATGTGACCGTGCT